AACGCGTAAATATTATTTTTTAACAACTTATGTTGAATTTTTTTGATGCAATGGTACGAATACATATTCTAATTAAAAGAAAGATCGTAGTTTATGGTTACCGACAATGTGAAAGGTATCAATAATGAAACGTTCATGGAATATTGATTAACCAAACAAAGAAAAGTTGTAATTTTTCATTTTGGATTCGAAAATAAATCATAACGCGACTTAAGTTCGAGGACTGATCTATCCCAGTGGCTTAGATCCACTTAAATCGGTTCGCGCAAGAAGTAGCACGCGTCGATCACGTGAATGCGTTTTACGTACGCGTAGCACCATTCAGGTTGTGACCCTTGATGGAGGAAAGGTTAGGCACTTGTTCACTTCCTTCGTTTAAGGAAATAACCCATTCTCACGTACGTGTGCGTGCTAATTTCAATTTAATCGGGAGGGTACCACAACTAGAATGGATTGACGAAATTGAATGCTAGATGTGTCCTCTAAATTTGATGAGAAAACGTGTATGTAAATACGCGGCTACATAGATATTCGCGCGCCGCCACAATGGAATCAACTTGAATTCCTGTGAGAAAAGACCATACGATTTTCGCACGGAACGCGTCGCGTTCGTTTCCTATCGAATCCGAAAATTTCATTACGAATTTAATTCCTATTGTTCGCGGTATTTAAATTTCAACCGATTCGAATGTATTTTAAACCGCAATTTTGCCGTATACTTATTTGTAACGTTCGAAGACAGGATATTTTCTGGATTTATAAGGATTTCCGCTTGAAAAATCAAGCAAGGCGTGTTAAGTTGTCTGCGAGGCTCGTAAATTTGATAACAAAATTGGAAAATTGAATCCCGAGATACTCTTAACGCTCGTGGATTCGATAAGAGTAATGAGAAGATTATAACAAAAGTGGCAAACAGTGAAAAGAAAAATATGAGAAAAGTGTTCGAATGGAATACTTTAAAAATATATAGGGTGTTCGGGCAACCCTGGGAAAAATTTTAATGGGAGATTCTGGGGGCCAAAATAAGACGAAAATCAAGAATATCAATTTGTTGATTTAGGCTTCGTTAAAAAGTTATTAAAAAATTAAATTAACAAATTTCAAATCATTCCGAAAACATTATTTTTGGTAGGAGGACTTAATTACAATCATTTTTGGTGAATACACAAACCCTTGAAATCCTACTCACTTTCGAGACAAAAATTCGAGAAGGTGTGATATTTTTAGACGAAATCAAAAAATTTGAAATCATATTAAAAAAATTATATTTAGTTACAGGGGTCAATTACAAGCATTTTTGGTGAATACACAAACCCTTGAATTCCTACTCACTTTCGAGAAAAAAATTCGAGAAGGTGTGATATTTTTAGACGAAATTGAAAAATTTCAAATCATACTAAAAAAAATATATTTAGTTACAGAGGTTAATTACAAGCATTTTTGGTCATTAGACATACCCTTGAAATCCTACCCAGTATCGAGAAAAATATTCGAGAAGGTGTGAAATTTTTCGACAAAATTGAAAAATTTCAAATCATACTAACAAAAATATATTTAGTTACAGAGGTTAATTACAAGCAGTTTTGGTGATTAGACATACCTTCGAAATCCTATCCACTTTCGAGAAAAAAATTCGAAAAGGTGTGAAACTTTTGGACGAAATTAAAAAATTTCAAATCATTCTGGAAAAATTATATTTAGTTACAGATGTCAATTACAATTATTTTTGGTGAGTAAACCTACCCCCGAAATCCTACCCCTTTTCTAGAAAAAAATTGAGTACGAGATGAACTTTAAATGTTAATAACTTTTTATCTATACCTCCATCAACAAATTAGTATTCTTGATTTTCGTCTTATTTTGGCCTGTAGAATCTCCCATTAAAATTTTCCCCAAGGGTGTCCGAACACCCTATATGATTCATGCATTTGAAATTATAATTTTTTAATAAATATTGACTGAAATCGTAAGTGATATTGTTGTTGATAAAAATCAGTAATTTTGTATACCCGTATCTACGATTCAACAATGAGTCAGCCGCTTGATAATTTACGCAAATACAATACGGTGAACGAGGTCAGAGATTTACGAACGATGGTGTATCATTTATCTCGTACAGTAGAACCTCGATTATTGCAACCTTGATTATTCTATGAGAGCCTCGTTCATTGTATGGTGTTGACAAGTAGATGGAATGGTCGTTGAGCATCAAGTAAGGTTGAAGGTAGTAGATGGAATAGGTTGGATTGGTTACCTCGATTAATGCAGGAATTTTCAGCCCTGATTTCCTGCAGTAATCGAGGTTCTACTGTAATCGAACATAGAGGATGAACAAAAGCAAAATTGATAAAGGAATGATCTTGAAATATTGAAATAAATTACTTGGGAGGAAATCTTGTTTCCTATTGGAATATTATTCCATCTAAACTATATATTGTAAATATACTATAAAGTAAACATTAATATAAAACAACAAAAAACGTCCATAAAAATTGAATTACGTATGAAATTATAAAAGCCATGCGTAACGTATGATAAACAATAAACACCTTGTTCGAGGAGATAATTCTACTGATCGACGCAATATTATGTATGTTAACGTATAATACTACGAAGAATAGATGCTGTATTAATTACGAATAACAATATTTTGCGTCACGACCATTCATGAATAAAACAAGATAAACATCGTCAAGAAAAAATAGGAATTGTAGATATAACGTGACTAACAGTTTTAAGATTTTTTATGTTAATTAACGTCGTGCGTATGTATCGAGCACCGAAGAAGAAAGTCAAAAGTGTAAGTAAGCGGTGGACGATCGAAATTTAATAGTGCAAGAAGTAAAAGCGTATCGACGAATTTAGAAACCTTGGTTGGAAAAGAGCACAACGTTTAATTGCATTTCATCCATTAAGTGTACGAAAACAAAATGTTCACAATAATCAAAACACCGTAAAATTTAATATTCTGAATCTGCCGTGTATTCTCGTATTTATTTAGAAAAATTGAACCCAAGTTTGAAAAAAACGACACAATAATAACATCAAAAAAAACAGTAAAACAGTAGCACCTCGATAAATGCAACTTCTATGACCGCCGGGGACCTCGTTAAGTGCACTCTGTTGACGAGTGGAGGGGATGGTCGCTTGGCAACGAGCGAAGTTGATACGATACACGATACGTTTAATATAAAAGGAACAATTCGACTGATCCTTTTTAAAACCGTGTTATACGAGGGCTGTTCACAGCATTATACGATATAACAATCTTTCTATATCATGCGATAACAGTTTAACGTGTTATATGAAAATAATTGACCACGTTATGCGAGGGCAATTCGCCGTGTAACGCAAGAGCAATGCGTCGTGTTATACGAGGATTATCGCAGTCTTTCCATATTACACGGAAATCTACCGAGCCACGCTACTTTATTCCATCTTCGTCGCGATTATAGCGTTCGAGAGAGTGGTATCGGTCAATCGAAAATACACGCCACGTTTTCTCGATCGTAAGAATGAAAGCGCGACTGTGTGTGAACGAATTGAATCGTCGCGCGACAACCACGCTGCCAGATAAAGAGTGGCAATAATAACTGAAACTCTTATAAAATTCTCCATTCTCCGTATCTCGTCAGTCATCGAAGACATGAAAAGAATTGTGCAAACGTAACCAGCCGTTTAAAGTTCGCCAGGCTGTACGACGCGACGTACTTAATCAAAACATAATTATTGCCGTCTACCGTGAAGCTAATCCGTACACAAATACGGACCGTGAAGAATCGTCTCGTGGTATGAACGTTTGGGCTTTGGATCGTTGGGCAATTTGCTCATTAACGAGCACGAGATTAAAGAGTGACCGAATGATTTTAGATCGTCGTGTGGCAATGGCGAACCGAGCAGAAATTTTTAAATAATTGTTATTTCGTTCGTATGTACTAACTTTTAGGTTATTACCATGCCAAGCTCGATCGCAGAATGCATCGACTGCATTTTCGAAATAATTTAGTCGTCAGTCTGGTAAACTTGCAGATACATGTAAGCGAACGTGTATTTATGAATTATTAGTAATCGTGGAAACATTATTATAACGATAAACGTATAAATTGAAAATTTTCCTCGTCGTTTATTCCCATTTGCGATAAGATGAATATTAGTGGAGTTCTATGATGACACTGGAGAGATTTATTAAACCGTCTTTTACTCCCATCTAACGGAAAACGCGGGAACGAGATTGTAGATAATGAAGAACGCTGTTCCAAGAATTTACCGCGAATTTTTTAAGGTTATGTTGCATCAACTTAAATTACACGAAAGAATCAATACAAATAAATTATGAGAAAACCACCAATATTTTTAAATAATTAATTACAAGCACTTCTTCGATAACAATGTTTAGTTAGACAAGCTTGTTTCCTTGCAATCTGACATGTAATTTCACTTCGTAATTCAGATTATAATTTTTATCGAACAAATAACACGTCAAAATCTATTTCTATTTTATTCGTTACCCAAAATTTGTATCTATTGTCCAGCCAACGAGAATATGAACTCTAGTAACATTACGTGATTTATGAAAGAATCTCATTGGTCAGCTACATATGTCCAGGAATTTACTGTAGATCGAAACACGAAGATTCATCAAACTCGAAAACTCGATGGGAGTTTCTATTAAAAAATTTCCTATTATTTCACGATTGTATTGCTAGAGTCGATCTTTTCATAGGATGAATTATATGTAAGAATTCTGTACGCCTCCGGTGTGAATTCACCTTAAAGCGCGGCCATGATACCGTAGAAAGGAACGACTGTAAGTGTGGAAAAAAATTAATGTCGCATCGGCGTGCAACAGGTCACTGTCACTGGACACACGATGCAACAAGATACATTCGCAGCTGAACAAAGGAGAACCATTATCTAAGCGATTAGTGCACGCGCCAGACGCAGAGTACCGTTTGCGATCGACTATGCAGAACGGAACACCGATTTCTCAGGAAGAAAGCTGATATCCACGTGGATCCAATTTTGTCCGTAGATCGAGTTCCTGCCTCGTGGACTGTGCACGTTGTCCTAATCTATAATAATAGAACCACGCAGGTCAAGCTAAGCAACACGATGCGTTGCACGCACGCGCTCTACGTGTACACTGCACAACCGACTGTGCAAATTGCGCAAATTGTACAAACAAAGTTGGGCAAATTTTATTCCCAATAAAGAAATAACGAATAAATCTCGAAGTTTATTCGTAAATAAAAAGTAATGATTTTAATTGGAATATCTATACGAAGGATAACCCTTAAAATAAAATCATCGATCTAGCAAATTTACTGATCCGATTTTTTTTCTTTTCGATTCTTTTTAGTTAACGATTTTATTGACCGGATGAAAATCAAACTGTGCATAAAAGAGCTATCTCAAGTAGGATGAAAGGACAAAGTTCAGCGAATAAGGATGACCTAACCTAACTCAACTCGCCACGAAGAAAATGTAGAAAAAAGATCCAATGGAAACGATCGTTTTGCGTATCTACGAATTTTTAGCATTCGTGCAACAAAATGTACGAAAATCTGCCTTCGAAGTTTCAATTTATTAATTTAAATGGTGCAAAGGTTATCGAAACGTTAATTACTCGACTAAACTACATTTTTAAGTATCCATTAAGCGAACTGTATTAAAGTATCCACGAACGTAACAATGATAGCACGATACGGCAGTAAATTACAATTACAATACAATTTTTTATTTGAACACCTAACGCAAGGTTATGGTTCAGACGGCAGCAAATAGAATTAATGATTGCGTTAATATGAATGGACATTATGTTATACGATGTTGTAATTAATTTTTCTTTCTTTTTTTTTCTTTCCATCAAGTCACAATTTCAATGGATAAGTTAGGTGTTCCAAGAATCGAACATCGTTATGTACCTGCAGGTGGTTCCATTCCAAGCACAGGAACTCCACATTGAAAGTACGGATTTTTACCTCGATAAAAGCACTAACAAAAATTAACTTTTTCATATTATCCTTTTTATATATTAATATATAAATTTTTATCTAGCTTCTTCAAGAAATGATGGAAATAACAGCGCAATAATTCGAAGGGCACTGCTGTACTACGTTCTCCAAATAAATGGACGGCGCATTTGATATGTTTGATTGTTAAATCTTTGACTGAGCCGCCTCCCTACCACCCCATACAACAATTTTACATAAAGAAGATTCGAATTGCAATATCTACTTAGCCGACATTTACTTTAATTTTTTAAGGTGTCGTGTCGAAAGTAAATAAATAAAAATAAAAAAGATCAATCGAAAAGATACTCCGTGACGTTAATGCCACCAGGAGATGTTTAGTCGTGGAACGTAACACGATCGTTTCGTGTGTGATAAAATGTCAGCTGGCAGTTAACGATACGATAAGCTTTCGGGATATAGAATATCCGTATGTATAGTTCAAGAAATTGTACGACCCGGCGTATACACATTTCTGATTTTTCCATATTGTAACGGTGTATATTCAACATACAAACGAAAAGCTGTAGCACAAGTTCATCATTGACAACTTAATGAACACAATATTACCTCCATTTATTATTCATAGTCAATTCTCGTTTTACTCGTCCAAAGTACAGCTGTGTCGATTCCAATCGCAGATGGCGATATATTTAATCTCGAAAATAAAGTCCACGTACAATAACGGCACATTCGAAAATTTAATAATTGGGGTGCACAAGTTCCGAAATTTTTATCTGGATTTTCTGTCTCGTAACGTTACGTCATAGTCTAGAATTACGTATCTCCAAAACAACTGTAAAATTAGTGTGTGTAACGATCCGTAGAAAATAACTGGGAAATTCGATGATTTTTTTTTTATTTCTTCCGCTACCTAGAGCAAATTGAAGAAGTCTTTTATTTATTTCGTTATCGTAATATCACATTATCATTAGTATCGATTCATTTTTATTTTGCGTACTCTTCCGACTTGATCTCGTTGAAAGAAAAATAGTTTTTTCTCTCTGTTACGCAATAAAACTTGGGGCAAAAATAATGATGGTCTCTTTAAACATTTCCGTTTTGTTCGGACACGAGATATTAACTTTATACAGCAGTTTGTGAATTATGCATCAACGCTTAATTTCAGTAAAGAACGTAACGGAAATGCGATGCAAATGCGTCACGACACTTCGATTCCTTTTTGTTTGTTCTTTGATGATGCCAATGAACCATCGAATGCATTTAATTTCCGTGGAAATTTTCGCGCGAGTAGGAACACAACTACATGCATTAACAAATGGTAACAATGACGTCTAAGATTCAACACGTGATCCCTCGCATAAATAGCAGTTTAGTATGCAAGTGTATATACCGTATGAAATGATTCTATTAACTGGTCCAGGCTACGTTTTCCATCCATTACAATAAATTGCCATACTCGCTAGGGCATACATACAGGGTGTTCGGCCACCCCTGGGAAAAATTTTAATGGGAGATTCTAGAGGCCAAAATAAGACGAAAATCAAGAATACCAATTTGTTGATGGAGGCTTCGTTAAGAAGTTATTAACGTTTAAAGTTGCGGCTGTAGAACGGCAATTTGTCCACCTACCCGAATTTTTTTTTCGAAAGTGCGTAGGATTTCGGGGGTATGTCTATTCACCGAAAGTGATTGTAATCGACTCCCGCAACCGAAAATAATTTTTCCAGAACGATTTGAAATTTTTGAATTTTGTCGAAAAATTTCACTCCTCGAATTTTTTTCTCGAAAGTGGGTGAAATTTCAGGGGTATGTCTATTCGCCAAAAATAATTGTAATTGACATCTGTAACTAAATATAATTTTTCCAGAACGATTTGAAATTTTTTAATTTCGTCCAAAAGTTTCACACCTTTTCGAATTTTTTTCTCGAAAGTGAGTAGGATTTCGAGGGTACGTCTAATGATAAAAAATTATTGTAATCGACCCCCGCAACCGAAAATAATTTTTCCAGAACGATTTGAAATATTTTAATTTAATTGTTAATAACTTTTTAACGAGGCCTCAGTCAAGAAACTGATATTGTTTATTTTCGTCTTATTTTGGCCTCTAGAATCTCCCATTAAAATTTTTCCCAGCTGTACAAAAAAAAAAATACCACGTTAATGGTCCCCCAAAATTGGCGATACAAGGAACTGCCATTTTATCCGAGATCTGTCTGCTCGTCTCTGTGATGCTGGTCGCTGTGCACCATAATCAAAAGTGAATGTACTTACATTTGTTGACGCTGAACGCGATGTCGGAAAATTGTACGTTGCGAAGGACATTGTGAGCAATGGCGCGGGAATTTGAAGGGGCAAAATCCGGGTCGTCGATATCGAACGATACGTTTTCCTCGAATTCCGTCATAGAGCTCTCCATGGTATCGAAAACGTGTGGCGAGTCGATTTCCAGCACCGAATTTTTTCACCACCTAAAAAAATAAATGCTAGTGTTTATTACCGTTCCACGATAAAGAAACATTTTTTTAAACCAGTGTTTCTCAAACTTCTACCCGTGAAACACACCCCCTCCCCTAGCGTTAAATTTTTGTACCAAATCTGTCTGTATCGATGGTCACAAATTTCATAATTATATTAGTCGAAAAAGTAACGTGTTAAATTTTTTAATATTATACCTGATAGACTGTATAAACTATCACGCGTATGGCACATCACTGTCCATAAATATTTAAGGGAATGCTTTATTGTGATATTGTATATTCTTATGTATGCACGTGCATCATGAATAATCAAACGAGGTCATTTCATAGAACAAATAGAAAGCTTGCATTATTAACCCTCCGTTGGCATAACCGGTCGTTCAAGTCCAGGCGAAAATTAAGTATAACTTGTGCACCAAAATAGAAACTCTAATAAATGTCTTAGAATTTTTGTAGATTTTTCTAATGCCCAAAACAATAAAATCCAGGCCTGCCTAAATAGGTTATGCCGACGGAGGGTTAAATGTTTCACTATTTTTTTGTTAAATTAAACAATATCAATACATTTGAATACAATATCACCATGCATGGCCTCCTAATCTAATATAAATTTAACTTAATACAGACTGCTAGTAAATATTTTAACCAGAAAACATAATATGACAATTAAAATACAACGGATTTTCTGACGAACAATTGAACGAAACGAGTAAAATGGAGTCGTTCCGACGGAGTTGCGGAACACAAAGAATCCGTTCCTATTCGTGAAAACGGAACCTCCATTTTTCGCCAACAATAAAGAAGTAGCAAATTATGCAAAATTATCTCGAAATTTCATGGTCGAGTTTGTTGTTACGTAAATCGTTTCGACGGTGCAATACAAGATGTCCGTGAAACGGAACAAACTGCACCCTGTCGGCCATTTACGATAGGACAAGTTACAACACAGCTAATGTTACAATACCAGACCTGTTTACAAACACTCTAACGACATTAAAACAGTGCACGTGGATCTATTAACCGCACAGACCATTGTCAATTTCCCTCGCGGCAGCTTCAGATTAGAATTAGGGTTCAATTTTATACCTGCTACGAATAAATTTCAAATATTTCAACATCATTGTTCGCCGAACAGATGTCTTCGGGGTAACGAGTCGAAATCGTTAATATTTTCAGGCGTAAAAATAAATATATCATATTTCTAAAAATACAAGTTCGATCTAACCCAAACTTTTTATAAAGAATGATAAAGTTTGAGAAACACTGCATAGTAACGTTGCGTGTGATTATTTAAAACTACTTATAATCGAAAAATCTAAATTTTCTTTACTGAAATATTGTGTAATATTTTTTTTTTATAATTATAGTTACTGTCAATAATAGACAAAAAAAAAAAAATCGTCCCTAAAGAGGTTAAAAAAATTAACAATAAACGTAAAAAGAAGTTGAATTATAATTCTCTTTACACTATTCACATATTACGAGTGACGTTAGAATTAAATTCGCCAAATATTTCAACGCGAATAAATTCGAACAGCCTTACATCGGACTTCCCTGTAATCTATTCACGACGATTTTTTTCAGAATTTCGTGGAACCGAGAACAAGGCACGGACGAGCACAAAGATGGAGTAAGAGGAAGAGAGCGACAGAAGAAGGCAGCGAATTTGCGTCGCGTGTTTACAAACACTAGTCCCGAGGTTCTTTCATGCACGCATAGAATTGTTTTCTTTTTAAGGTGGCCAACGCCACCAACGGCCCCGTGAATAAAGCAGAACAAAAGTGTCAATCAAAAGTTACATCAATCTGTTTCGTAACTATGGATATAACTTGATACGCATCGTGACTTTGTCGATGAACTTGATTATATTTGATCACATTGTAATCTCATAATATACTAGCAATGCAAATAGTTTGCAACGTGAATTTAGCTGATCTAAAATTGTGCACGCATGTTGCAATTACGACGATTTTACGTCTAATCTTTCGAACTGAATCTCAACTTTTCTTTCAAAGTAATAACTATTTCTTGATTATGGACATTTTCGTGTTAGCCTTTTTCTTTTTGAGTACGCTTGATAAAGCAAAAATACACAAAAATTGTGAGGATTGTTCTTATAATATTCTTGTGATCAATTTCTCGTACGATAAATAATGAAATAGAAAGAACGTAAGTATTTTATAACAAGATACATACTCAAATAATGAGCAAAAATAAATGCATCGATTAAATAATAAAATCTAATTAACACTATCACTTTCAATCAGTGATCAACGATACATGCAGATACTGACAGATAATTACGCATCGCAGACAATACTTGCGATAATCGTTGCAACAAGAACACAGAAGATTGTTTCATCAAACGATGATTGATTATTATCATTGTAAATTCGAAAAAGGAACAAATGTTTACGAATCGACGTAAATTTCTTCAATCGATAAAGTAACCGTTGAATTTAAAACAATTTATCGTACGCGATTATCGTAAATCGAATTTTAAGATATTGATTCGATATTACATCGAGTACTTAAATACACGTACGTACACATTATTTATTATGGTAGAAATTATTTTTAAAACATTTGTTAACGAGATCCAGTAAAACTAAGCACAAGATCACGTGATTTAAAATATTTATATTCCGTACCTACCACAAAGCGAATTCATGCAATTAGTATTACATTTCCATGCTTGCTTTATAAAGAAATAATACAATTTATCGAAGTGATAAGTGTGTTAATGCAATTTTTATATTATATATTAAGTTCGATAAAATGTACTTCAAACTATTTGTTAAGAATACTGATAGCTGATCGTTGTTACGAAATGTAATTGATGTAATTGCTGCTATAAATAGTACAAATTCATACCTGTTTTCTAATCCTTGTTTGAAAATTCACGTATTCGTTGACACTCGACTTTCAAACGTTTTCACAAGACGCGTACCGTTTCGACACGCACCTACCGGTGGCCGATGGTCGACTGACACTTACCGCGCTATCACGTGGGAAATTTGTCACAGACATTCGTGAAACTATTTCCAACGAGCATCAACATCCTTTACCGACTGTTACCGCGATAATGAATTACGACTGTTAAATACCTTTAATTTATCGAGGTGCACGTTCTTATCAGAAGTTACGAAAGAACGGAGAATGAAATTACCGGTTTGAAATAATAATTCACGGACTCGGGCACCCTTCCGACCTCTCGCTACCACGGTTCCCACTCGACTGATCTCAATTTATGATTTTCACGTACCTCGAATTTTTTAGAATTTACGGTTCACCGGCAAAGAATGAAAATAAACGGTCGTTATTCGTACTAATAGGGTGACGAGCCAGTTCCGGTAAGGATATCTTCAAGCAACAGAACACAAACTATTGTTCAGATTGATTTTGGCTGGTTTTAAAACGATTGAATAAAATTAACAATCGTCAAATTTAAATCAGATCCATTAAGTATCAAATTCTAAACACAAATGCTGCAAATACACCGAATAAATATACCACATTTTTGGAAAATATTTTTGTATTTCATGATCTACAGTTACAAATTAATTAAAATTACACAATAATTATCCGTCATGCTTTTAAAATATATGAACAAATTCAACACAAGCCCTTCCTAATTAGACTAATATCTCAGCACAAATGTATAGAATTAAAATTTGAAAAAATATAGACGGGAAATCGACTCGCATTGTCTTACATTTTTACGTTTAAAATTAGATATATATATGTATGTATACAATTTATACAAGGGGTTCTTATAATTTAACAAGGCAGTTGTACAATTACAAATTACACAACAGTCAAACGACTCATACATTAATGAAATGTATTAAAAATTGAGCGCGATACGTAATACCGCAATACGGAATAAAATTTTTACCTTACTGTACATAAATTAAATTAGAATAGATTAGAATTTGGCATACCAAGTACTGTGCGAACATGTACCTTATAATAAAGCATCATCACTAATCTTTAATTGAATATCTATCAGACATTGATTAAAACATTGGTCCAAATCCTGTATAAAACATAGACAATTAACCACCATGTCTTTTCACACGATCATTGCAAATTTACGTACGTATACTTACTAGGATTTGGCGGTGGACGTAATCTATACATATCTGCAGGGATAAATCGTGGTCCAAATGGTCGTAAGGGGCCCATCATAGGAGGGTGTCTGTTACCTCTAAGAGGACCCTGCCCACGAATTGGAACCAAAGGACCGATCATTATAGGCCTTGGAGCAAAATTCTGAACGAATAACAAATGAGTTTTGTATGCACTGAATAACTAAATTTTGTGAATAAATAAAATACCTACTCCGTAATAAATAGGAACAGGAATCGGTTCGATATAGTGTGGTGGAGGAACCCTTCGTTCACCGGATCTACCACTACCTCTATCTCTTCTTTCTCGAGATCGTTCTCTAGACCTGGCTCGATACTCTCGATAAGATCGCTCGTCTCTAAATAATGCATTATTCCAATATATTTTCAAACCTTACTTTGCATGCGATGATATTTGAAACGTTGCATAATATACCTATGATGAAAGTCTTTGTCCCTCGAACGCGAATGATCACGACGACGATGACTTCTTTCTCGTGAACGACCTTCATCTACGTTATGCGATTGAGAGCGTTGTCTATATTTCTCTTTATACTCTTTACTTTTATCCCTACTACGATCCCTTTCCCTAAATCAATAATGCAATGATTCGATATAATAAAATTGAAACGGTATGTAGAGTACACTAATATAAGAAACCATTAAGTAATTTTTACCTATCGCTTCTATAACTTCCTCTATCATCGTGCTTCGTGTCTTCGTGCCTAAAAGATAGTAATAAATTAATAAAAAATTAAATTATCTAACAACTTTTTAGAGTACATATTAACAACTGAAATATAGAAAATCGATTTATTATGTTTATGCTTAACCTATACTTAAACGTAGTGCAATACTCCGTGTGAAATTAATAATTTTTGTCAATATCCATATTAATTATGTCATTTTCTTAGTCGTATGTCATGACAATTTATTTATCGATATCTGGGATGAAATTTTATCCAGATTTTATGCAATTCATAAAAATCATATTAATTATGATAAAGGATATATAAAAGACAATAATTAATTGTCATTGTAGATTAAATTTCAATACATATTTTGTGCAAAGTTTAATTACGTATGTAGTTCCATATTATATAAGAAATTGTTTATTGTTCATATTACGTAATTGTAAAATTTCATATCTTTATCCTCTTTGTAGTACCATTTCGATATGTAAACAAATTTATGATCAAAAATATGATTTTCTGTACTGGTATTTCCTAAAATGATATACGCAACCTCTTGAGAAGCGCCCCACATTCGAAAAAATGTTTAATGTGGAAAAAATAAGGATAACTTATATCTCTTTTTATTACTGCATTAATTATTCTATCGAAGAAATATTTATATTCTCTTACTGAATATATATAGTTTTATTTAACGTTAATAAAATTCACAATCAACAACACATTCAAAATTATGCACTACAAATTTATAATTAAAGAAAATTTAAAAAGAGGGAAAATGAAGAATGCAATTCGATAAAATTAACAAGGATTATGCAAAGAACTAACAAATATGTTAGCAATACAGTAAATATTATTCTCGATACCATGATACTCTCGTTTAATTTAATTTTGAATAGTTGAAGTTACTTACCTTCAATAATCATTGTCTTAACGATATATTACCAGTGCAATGTAATAGACTCGAAAATAAAACCCGAAATACCAATGAAATAATTTAAATAGTTACGTTACAGCAATTCTTTTTTGCTTTTACCATAGACCATTCAAGTGATAGCAACAAATTCACTAATATAATCTTTCAGTTTTAACACTTCAAATGCAACAAATATTATTAGCAAAAGCTATTCGTATTATTTGTAAAATATTAATTTTATATTAATCCAATCAAATTAATATACGAAAAAGTATGTATATCTCTGCATTGTCCTTGAAAAAAAAATTAATATACTAAAGGATAAAGCAGAAGCATTGGTTTAGCATAAGCAAGCATGTACACAGAATCGGGTACATTGTAAATTGTGTCCGTGTCCCATCTGTTTGGCTTTTCTCCACATCCTTGTGAAGCATTAGTAAAGCTAGAACAAAACAAACTGTAATAACATAAAACAAAACATGCCTAAAACAGCTATCTGGAAGCACAATTACATCCAAGTATTTATACCATTTAAAAAATTAGATATTGTGAATTTATGAAACATTCAACATACACAATATCAAAGCGAATCCATTATGTACTAATCGTATATTTAAGTACTTTTCGTGTTTTTTGATATCACAATAAAATGTGTTACCACATATCATTTTCCAATAAACTTTGATCGTATCAATTAAGAATGATCAAATATGCATACTCTTCATATAAAAACAATTGCAATACTCAGCATACTTTCGATAAACAGAGTCTTAATTTATGAACCAATATGCTCTTTTCAGAATAACGGACCTTTTTTTGCCATTAATATTTTTGATATTCGTTCACAAATTAGCTGCAACGACTCGCCAAAATATTCAAACGATCTCAAAACAAAACGTTTAATGTTTAAAACAATGAAGTTGTATTATGTTTTTCAAAATACTTTTATAACGGTAGTAACATATTAATATCAGGATCAAATATGTTATGTCTGAAAATATTTTGTAAATCTTAATGTAACTTCATTTTCACAACCGCTAAACGCTTTGTTCGAAAGTATTCGAATGAATTAGTGAGCAACATGTACATGCTAATAATCATATCCATATTACAATTGTAAAATCTTATTATAATAATAAATAAAAGTTTAAGTAACAGTTACTTATCACTAATCGCAAGAATTTTGCTTTCTTGCAAAGTACAACTGCCAATATAGGCACAAACCTGGAATGACGAGACGATGTGCGTAGAGGACTATGACTTCGAGTCTTTTCAAGACTCAAAGACGCTGAACGCCTGTTGCATGTTTTCGACTTGTTTCCTGAAAATAAAAAATTCATAGAAAAATTGAAATTATTTTCTTGTTTAAATATGATTTAAAACTAGCAGTGCTACAAATAGAATGATGTATATAGATAATAAAAATAACGAAAATAACGAACATACCCGAAGTTTCAGACTTTATAGATACAATTGTACGGTGTTCCTCAACTTCCTCTGTGTCTAGCGTGGTCCCCTTTATTTCTTCCCTTTCAAATATCGGTTTGGACCCTTCTCCTATAGTTAAGCAAATGTATTCATGGAGACAATGTGTAGAATGTACATGAATCAAGCATTCAAGCAATATTAGCAGATATGACAGACCTTGAAAATGTTAAGGTTGCTAACTGGCTCATTTTGAACAATTCTAAGCCAGGTCATTTTATAACGAATTTACTGACTAAATCAACTTTTAACAACAGTTACAGAAGTAAAACGACACATTTCTTTTCTATTAACATTATTTTACATTGTCAATTTTTATAAATGACTTAAGAAAAATATTTATGCAATATTAGATTTTAAAAACCTGTATAAATGTGGGATTTTTTAAATTAATTCAACAGAGGTAAATTATAAGTAACAGTAGTTTAATGTTATAAGTGAAAAAAATCGGGGAACATGATGGGCCACTACAAACAACGACATCCGCTGATCACATGAAGCCCTGGCTAGAAAACGTATCAGACTATTCATATTCGACAGATGAGGAAGAAACCGATAATGCAGCTCCTGAGGACAGGAGCATTGTTCAGGACGGCCGAGTGTAGGAGGCAAAAAAGGGCTTCGAGGAAGCGTTGCCGAACGCTGACGGTTAGGAGCAGCGTAAGAACGCGTACAAAATCAGCTGTTAGGACGCATGTGAAAGTCGCCCTATTGTCAATGACCGTAGTCGTAAACATGACCGAAAGGCGAGCGACAATTCTAGATATTTAAACCATTCTTTCGTCTTTGGTGCAGCTAGTTTTGATAACATTGGAATAAGAGTGCGATTCACTCGTTCTACTTGTCCGTTTGCTCTAGGGACACCTGTCGTTATCAAAACATGCTGGATGTTTTCATTTTTGCAATATAGCTCAAATTCTCGCGAGGTGAATGCCGTTCCGCGATCCGATATGATCCGTCTGGGATTGCCAAATATATCTGCCTGCTTCTTTAATTTAGAAATTACTTCCGCTGTTGTTGTGGAGCGAGTCGCATACAGCCACACGAACTTCGCGAATGCATCGACTACTACTAGCACGTGTTGATAACTCTTTTTGGTGGACGGCAAGGGGCCGATATGGTCAATATGGTACGTATCGAGTGGAACTGTTCCCTTGTCGATCGCATTTAGTAAACCTTCTTGTTTCCCGTGTTTCCTTTCCGATAAGATGCAGCTAATACAATTTCGTATAATTTTCTCAACGGTGGCGCGCATATTCGGAAACCAATACTCGCGTTTTAACAGGTTCTCAGTTTTGGCTACCGAAAAGTGCCCTATCTCATGTGTCTGCCTAATTATCTGGGGCTGCATTGCTTTGGGTAATATCAATTGTACCTCGCCCGCCTCTTCTTTATATAACAAACCGTTCCGCACCACGTATCCTTCGCATTGACCACGTTCCGCCACCTTAAAGAAATTTTTCAACGCCGCGTCACTATGCTGTGCTTTTCGTATTCTCGCGATGATGCTATCCTCACATTCTTTAACTAACATTACTGACGGTAATGGGTTTCGACTCAATGCATCGACGTGCATCATATTTTTGCCGGCGCGATGCTCGATTGTATATTGATATTCTTCTAATGTCAGTGCCCATCGCGCTACACGCACACATAAATCTCGCAATCATTGAATATCCGGGTATATATTTTCTAAAATAGCCCGTAAGCCCTAGGAAACTTTGAATATGTCTTATATTTTCGGGTTGCTTAAATTTCATGACTGCCTCTATTTTATCTTCGGAAGGGCGAACTGTTCAATTCTCGATTATGTGGCCTAGAAACTGTATTCGCGTCTGTAGAAAGCAACATTTTCCCCAATTAAACTTTAACCCGTGATATGAAGCGACCTGTAATACTTCTCGCAATATTCCCAGTCCCGTATTATGATCTCGCGAGGCAATAATGAAATCGTCTATGTAAATTAACACCTTCTCCTGTTTAATGTGATCTGCGAAAATTGTGTTTATGAATTTTTGAAAGATTGCTGGCGAATTACACAGACCGAAAGGAGCGTACCGAAATTCATATTGTCCATCAGGTATAATGAACGAAGTATATTTCCTACTCTTTGCCTCGATCGGGACGTGAAAAAATCCGTTTTTTAAGTCGAGGGTTGTGAATACTTTCGCGCTCTCTAATGCATTTATTTGGTCTTCTATTATTGGGAGTGGAAATCGGACCTTAACTATTTTTTTGTTGAGCTGCCGGTAATCAATGCATAATCTTGAATCGCCGTTTTTCTTTCTCACTAATACTATTGGACTCGTATACTGTGACAGAGACGGTTGAATTACACCATTGCGCAGCCATTCGGTTACGTGATGGTTTACTTCTTCTCGCTCGGATGGTGCTAATCTTCTCGCCCTCTGGTATACTGGTTCATTATCCGTTAGAACAATAGACATTTCGATATTCGTTTCGCGTGTTTTGTTTGGGCTATAGGACTGTATTAACCGTCGGACTGTTTCCCTATGCTCTTTGTCTTCAATATGCGACAAGTCTACTGGGCTGTTTTCGTATTCGATATCTATTTTAAATATTTCGGGTAGTGCGCTCGCGTTTAAGGAGTCTTTTTTACATTCCGTAACCGAAATTTGACCGTCCTTGATATTCAACTCGACTTTGCGTAAGAAATCAGCTCCGATCAATAATTCATGCCGCATCAATGTATTCGATACCACGCGTATCAGAATTGAGTACCAAGTTCCATCTATTTCAATATGAGTCGTGAATTCCCCTAATGTTTTGTTACCCTCGGACCCAATTCCGCGAAAACTAATCTCGTTTCGTATTAATTTAGGTGAGCCTATTTTAATATACTGATCCGCGCTCATCAGTGATAAATCACTACCCGTGTCTATGAGGGCGGACATTTTCTGATTATTGATCGTAACCTCTTTATGATATTTGCCATCCGCTAGTTCCGAAACACTACATGCGTCTTTTATGCTCGCGTTTTTTTTTGGACATTTCGCTGCGATATGACCAAATTCACGACATTCAAAACATCTCATACCTTTACTTCGCATTGGGCAGTCGGCCGCATAGTGTTTCCGCATACCGCAATTATGACACCGGACCTCCGTTACGTCATGCGCCGCATCCCGTCGCTGCATCGCACCGCTGCTGGTTCTTGTAGGGATGTTACTCTGGTGCCCTCGTCCGCGTAGCGATATCTGCTCGAAGGCCTCCAACAGGTCTTCTTTCGTCTTCAGGCGCTGCACTTTTGCTTGGTCTCGCAATGCCGCATCCGGAATTCCCTCTATGAGATATTCCACTGCTTCCTCTTCATCTATGGCGATATAATTAGCCAATATCAGCTTCTCGTGAAGATACGCACTGAACGTTTCTTCCCGTTTCCAGATCCGTTGTTCGAATTGTTTTCGGAGCTGGACTTTGCTTTGACGTCTTTGGAACATCTCCCTGATGTTTCTTAGCAATTCGTTTACCGGCATGATGACGTATTCGGCTTTCGAATGAAACCAGTCAAGTGCTCTTCCTTTGAGACGCATGCCGATCATTATTTTAGTGAGGTCGTCTGATAATTGGTAAGTGGCTTGCAAAAATGTCACTTGCCTTTCCCACGTATTATAGAGTTCGCTTCTCCCGTCGAAATAATTTAACAGCTCCGAAATTGCACCGATGTTTACCCGAGGTGTTGTCTCGGTGGTGGGTCTTCTTAGGGGTTATTTGAATTGGAGGATCTTGCGGCGTTAAATCAAGGTTTTCCCGTGATTCTGCATTCAAATTCGGCCGTTGCTGGCTACGCAGAATCTCGATTTCTCTTCGAGCGAGTTCAAGTTCACGTTTGTCAAGTGCTTCTTCCTTTCGCATCAATTCCATTTCACGGCGCATATATTCTATTTCGTTTGTACTTACGCGCAGTGGAGTTGCTTCCGGTTGCACCACTGCTGCGTCGGTGCTGGGTAGATTCTCCTCTTCTTGGACCCATAGACCGGATGGATCTGCCTCCATCAATCTGCCGATGAGTTCGCTCTTAATGCCCGAAGTGACTAAGCCGCGGCACCTGAGCTTTTCCCTTAATTCTTGTACAGAAAACTCAATTGCACTTCTTGTTGCCATCTCGTTTCAGCACAATGACACTTTAAATTGACTGTGGATCTCGATTTAAACGTTGATTGATTTATACTGTCGAATTTTATTTGTTTTGATCAATCCCGGACGAGCCCCCAAAATTGTGGGTTTTTTAAATTAATTCAACAGAGGTAAATTATAAGTAACAGTAGTTTAATGTTATAAATTATTATATATATATATATTTTACTCGCACTCACTGACTCATATATTTTACTCACACTCGCTGTCTCGCTGTCTCGCTTGTACGTAATAATCTCTCGTTCTTCGTAGCGCTTCGATTTATATACAAAATCTCACACACGCTTGCCGATACACCGATTTTTGCGGCTGTTGGCCTTTTCGTAAGTTTTCTCTCTCGCACACATGGTCTCTCTCTCGCACTCGTTTGCCTTTCGGTCATGTTTACGACTACGGTCGTTGACAATAGGCGAGCGATTTTCACATGCGTCACAACAGCTGATTTTGTATGCGTTCTTACGCTGCTCCTAACCGTCAGCGTTCGGCAACGCTTCCTCGAAGCCCTTTTTTGCCTCCTACATAAATTTCTTTATTTTTTCTAAATACGAACAATTTATCATAATTCTCATAATATCCATAATTAAAAATAACCTATAAAATATTACGACGAGAATTAAATTTTGAAAATACTAGATTTTTTACTCTCCATTTGATAAAATTATTTAAATAAGGATCATTCCATTTTTAATATTCTTCGTGAAATAATAATTCATTTTTAAATTGAAATTCATACAAACCATATGAACTACTTTTTTAAATTAAGAAAAACATATACTTTATATATTTCCTCTCAAGAATCGTTAATATTTCATATTAAACATATTCAAAAAAAATATTGAATAATATAATCATCAACGACGCTATACAGGGTGTTCGGCCACCCCAAAATAAGACGAAAATCAAGAATAAAATTTTTCTAGCAAAAATTTTAATGAGCGATAGTAGAGGCCAAAATAAGACGAAAATCAAGAATACTAATTTGTTGATGGAAGCTTCGTTAAAAAGTTATTAACAATTAAATTCAAAAATTTCAAATCGTTCTGGAAAAATTATTTTCGGTTGCGGGGGTCAACTACAATCATTTTTGGTGAGTACACATACCTCCGAAATCCTATCTACTTTCGAGAAAAAAAATCGAGTAGGTGCTGAAATTTTTCGGCGAAAAAAAATTTTTCAAATCGTTCTAAAAAAATTATTTTCGGTTACGGGGATCAATTACAATCATTTTTTATCATTACACATACCTCCGAAATTGTACGCACTTTCGAGAAAAAAATTCCTTACTGAAAATCCAATTAGGTGCCTAAATTTTTCAACGGAGAAAAAAAATTGCAAATCGTTGTGGAAAAATTATTTTCGGTTGCGGGGGTCAACTGCAATCATTTTTGGTGAGTACACATACCTCCGAAATCCTATCTACTTTCGAGAAAAAAAATCGAGTAGGTGCTGAAATTTTTCGGCGAAAAAAAATTTTTCAAATCGTTCTAAAAAAATTATTTTCGGTTACGGGGATCAATTACAATCATTTTTTATCATTACACATACCTCCGAAATTGTACGCACTTTCGAGAAAAAAATTCCTTACTGAAAATCCAATTAGGTGCCTAAATTTTTCAACGGAGAAAAAAAATTGCAAATCGTTGTGGAAAAATTATTTTCGGTTGCGGGGGTCAATTACAATCAGTTTTTGTCATTAGACATACCCACGAAATCCTGCCCACTTTCGAGAAAAAAAATAGAGAAGGTGTGAAATTATTCGAGAAAATTAAAAAATTGCAAATCGTTGTGGAAAAATTATTTTCGGTTGTAGGGTTCAATTACAGTCATTTTTGGTGAATAGACATACCCCCGAAATCTTGCGCATTTTCGAGAAAAAAATTCAGTAAGGGCGGCACTTTAAACGTTAATAACTTTTTAACGAAGCTTCCATCAACAAATTGGTATTCTTGATTTTCGTCTTATTTTGGCCACTGCTATCGCTCATTAAAATTTTTGCTAGAGGTGGCCGAACACCCTGTATAAAGTGAATTAAACAAAAAATGACTAAGTTCTTTTACAAAGTTTAATTAAATTGAATAAATTTATTTTCGTAGACTAATAGTCCCATACTGAAATCTTCAGAGGTGCTTTGCATCTTCCAAGACGTTTAAAAAGATCTTCCAGTTGTTGATTCAAAATTCCACAAGCCTGTTCGAATTTTTCTATACTATATAGATTTTAAACACCATGTCAACCAATTAAGTCAAGTACACGAATATTTATATTTAAACATTTAGAGAACACTAGTTCTTTCAGCTCTACTTATTTATATGAAATTTGAATGCAATAAAATCAAATCTATCATATAAATTTAAGGAATATAATAACTTGGTTTTACTTCTGCATCTTCCATTAGAGAATTTCAGGATTTAATATTTAATTTTGTAATTTTACTCTGAAATTGCAACACAATGTAGAACTGTGCCTCTTCCAGTGTAGAATCTTAAGGTTTAAAACATCTTCGCATGAATATTGGATCGAATCAACCTTGCAGTTGATCATGTTTTCATAAATAAAGCTTCAAAAGAATCAGCATATTTAAACATGCACGCATTCCCACACCAGGATGTAAAGAGAATGCACAAAATGTGACCACATAAAAATTTGGAAGCACTGTAAGCCGTTGGCCGACCAGCCGCCATACATTTTAGTATGTTAGAGGCGACCGCGACCGGCATACATATATTTTTTTGCCAGGAATTCATTTTTACTAAAAAAATGTTATGTCTGCTTCATCAACGTAGCAGAAAGATAATTCTTTGTGCACACTCGTTAACGACTATTAAAGCAACAAGCAAAAATTACGCTAAGCATTAGCAATTTTAAAACACTCAAAGTAAAAAATGTTGTGCTTACATATTGCACATTATGCGATCGATACAGCGATCCAACGTTGTATTCCAAATACTCTCTATCCTGGATGAATCAAAAACAAATATTAACTTCAGAAATTAAACGCATAGTTGAGTGAATTCTCGACTATCGTACATAGAATAGAATATCACGTCGAAGTCCATAATCTTCGTTGTCGTAGAAGTTGATAAACATATATACCATTCTTCAAGTGTTGCATTCGACAAAGTGAAAATTGAATATTCTTTGTCTAAATTGAAAGTATTAAAAGGAGACTAAACGAATTTGAGAGAGTGACGCGTACAATACAGATTTATCACATTTACATTAGAAAACGATGTTCTGAACATCGAATGTGTTGACCATGATTCGTAGACAAACCCAGAAACAATCATCTTCCACGTTGAGTTTATTTCCTTCTATGGTACTTGTGTACTGAATAACTAAAACCTGTTAGAAGATTATAGTAAAAAGCAACACATTACCCGCTCTTCTCTTGAGCACCACATCTTCAGGATTGATTATATCCCGCTGAAGCTCACTGGGCGATGACTTTCCAGGAATGTTTCTATGAATATTTACTTTGATTTTGCGCAGCTCTGTTATACTAATTTTCGTGCCTTCGGGTCCCTTAAACAAGGGTGTTGTTCCCTCCGATGATTCTAATCTAAAGTGTAAACAGATCGATCATACAGAGTGTAGTTAGACTATTTAATTTATATGTTAATAATCAAAGTTTTTATTACTTACTTTTTTGAAAGTATAGTAGTTCGAGCTGTGCTAGATGCAGAACTTCTTCCATGTAGGCTGGGTGGTGTTTTGCTTCTACTTTTCCTACGATTATGACATGACAATCCTTGTTTGGGTAACGGTAAACCCTTTTTACGGGCGCGTCGTATTTCATACTCTAAAATCATTTTTTCTTTCAATCTATCGTGTTCCCGTTGTCGTTCTTGTTGGATCATCCATTCGCGTCTACGTCGTAATTTTTCTTCCTCGGTTCTTGAGCGTAGAGTCTCATTGCAATCTTCTTTACGCGATGACGACGATTTTTCATCAGAATGTGAATGCCGCGACGTATTCCGTTTCATTTCTACGATACACAGCAAGGTTAAATCATATACACACGCAGGAAAGGTTTGTAGGTTAGGAGCATATAAAATTTGAATACGTTTACACTTCGTATTAAATTGATATAAAGAAAATTACCTTGGTTTTACGACGAAATATTACGTTGAACGAAGATTAAAACACACATGAAGTAAAATTATAAAAATCTCTACGGCTAGTAGAAATGCATCACAAATAAATAAACACGTGCATAGCAACAAGCGGACGCTACCCGAATTATGCACCGGTAGAAGCGAACACGACCACTTTTCAAATCTACTGCACGGTACTTTTATGGGGGTAGTGGCTACCTAACCCAAACCTAACCCGGTATTCAGGTATGAGCGTACTAGCGGTAACTAGCGTAAACCAGTAGCGCTTAAACTTCGCTATCCCTTCTGCTCTTCGGGCAGCTTCGGGAATTCGAGAAAGAAGGCGAACTCGAGCCTCTCTTTCTCACTTTCCTACAGCTGAAATCCAACTTGTATCAACCACCATAAGATTCCAAGTCTCGACTATGCGCATGTACATTTATTATACAATAAATAGACTTATCGTTTAATGGGACTTCGTGACACATGATTCAATGGTTTACGAACAATCTTTACGTCTAAGTAGCGATGCATTTAGCAATTATAACTAACCGAAATACCAACATTTAATAACGTCAAGTTTTTTCAAAACTATTACCTACTAAAACATATATAGGGCACAAATGACGCTGATTTACACACTTAGTGTGAACGGGTTTAAATTCATAAGGGTAACAATTTACGTTATTTCTTTTGTAACTCTTCTTAGTAATGCATAAAAACGATTTTATTTCTATAAACATAATACATACACAATGTTACGTAATTGTTACAAAATATACTTATAATATAATTAAAATTATAGGAAAAATTAATATTCAGAGGTATATATTTGTGAATTTCCTTATTTCTTCTGTTCCATCCCTTACCTTCATTGTACTTCCTTCCACCTTACTGATTTTTTGTTACTGCTTTCTTCCATAATAATTTTCAATCTCTTTAGAAGCAAATGCCAAAATAAATATCAAATTCAGGAAACTACCATGCTTCATGTGATCCTGAAAGAAAAACGAAATTGAGGTTTCTGATAATTCTCTGTAATTGTATTAAGAAATAAATTACCTTCGTTGGAATTATGTTTGAACTGAAGTAGTGTAGCTGAAAATCATCAGGGTTAAAGTTTTTTCCAATTCATTACGTTGTTTGATAGTAAACAAACGTGGATTTCGCTACAACGCAACATTATTTACAAATGCGTAATGTCGTTAAGCAACCTGGGAAAAATGAATGAAAATATTGTTTCTTTTTACGAGTTTCGAACATTTAACACGTTCACAGATACAGAGTATTACTTTCGATCATCTGTGTATCTGAAAATCGATATGAAATCGCTATAAAACGTATAGATCGCCGGTTCAAGGTTATCATTTCGAATACTTAAACTAAAGCCTCCGATCCGGAGGCAAATAACAAAATATTATATATACTGAAGAATATATCCATATTTGTTTGCAACACCTACTAATTTATACACATTTTAAAATTGCAATACTCTATACTATATCCATATATGAAATTGCAATACTTATTAACATATCCATATTAAATTAAGCAGTGTACCAACTCTTTGAAGTGTGGTACATTAGTGTCATATCCATATTTCGTTTAGCAATACTTATTAACATATCCATATTTCGTTTTGCAATACTCTGTCCAATATTCATATACATAAATATTTGCAATACTCAGGAACATGTCCATATTGAATTAAACAGTGTACCAAAAGTTTTATGTGTATTACATTTGTGTCATATCCATATTTTCGTTTTGCAATATCTAGTGATTTCCATAAATTTTACATTGCAATACTCATTAACATATCCATATTTCATTTTGCAATACTTAGCGATTTACATCAATTTTAAATTGCAATACTCAGTCTAATATCCATATATAAATATTTGCAATACTCAGGTACATATCCACATTCAATTAAGTAGTCTACCAAATGTTTTAATTGTATTAATTTGTGTCATATCCATATTTTTTTGCAATACCTAGTGATTTACATAAATTTAAAATTGCAATACTCTGTCCAATATTCATATAAATAAATATTTGCAATACTTATTAACATAACCATATTTCGTTTTGCAATACCTAGTGATTTACATAAATTTAAAATTGCAATGCTCTGTCCAATATTCATATACATAAATATTTGCAATACTCGGGTACATATCCATATGTAATTAAGTAGTCTACCAAATGTTTCAAGTGTATTACACTTGTGTCATATCCATATTTTCGTTTTGCAATATCTAGTGATTTCCATAAATTTTACATTGCAATACTCATTAACATATCCAGATTTCATTTTGCAATACTTAGTGATTTACATAAATTTAAAATTGCAATACTCTGTCCAATATTCATATACATAAATACTTGCAATACTCAGGAACATATCCACATTCAATTAAGTAGTCTACCAAATGTTTTAATTGTATTACATTTGTGTCATACCCATATTTCCTTTTGCAATACCCAGTGATTTATATAAATTTTACCTTGCAATACTCTGCCCAATATTCATATACATAAATATTTGCAATACTTAAGAATATATCCATATTAAATTAAGCAGTGTACCAAATGATTTAAGTATATTACATTTGTGTCATATCCATATTTTGTTTTGTAATACTTAGTGAGTTAGATAAATTTAAAATTGCAATACTCTATATCATATCAATATATGAAATTGCAATACTCATTAACATATCCATATTCAATTAAATAGTCTACCAAATATTTTAATTGTATTACATTTGTGTCATATCCATATTTCCTTTTGCAATACCCAGTGATTTATACATACAAATTTTACCTTGCAATAGTCAATAACATATCCATATTTCCTTTTGCAATACCCAGTGATTTATACATATAAATTTTACCTTACAATACTCAATAACATATCCATATTTCCTTTTGCAATACCCAGTGATTTATACATATAAATTTTACCTTGCAATACTCAATAGCATATCCATATTTCGTTTTGCAATACCTAGTGATTTATATAAATTTTACCTTGCAATACTCATTATCGTATCCATATTTCGTTTTGCAACACTTAAAAACATATCCATATTTAACAAATAAATTATACATTATATGATATCAATTATTTGAATTATAATATATTACACCTTATCCATATTTAAGTTTGCAATACTCAGTGAAATGTACACATTTTTATTTGTTGAAATAAAAATAGCCATGACCTTCAAATCTAAGGAAAAAATAACCTTAATAGAAACAAATTTGAATCACAATATTTTTAAACTTATTACACAAATTCAATTTTTACGCAATGAAACTTCATTTTACACAATCTTTATACGATTCATTCGTTGTATACAGTAAACATAAAAGGTTTTATAATTTTGTAATAACCGATGAACACTAAGAACACGTGTTGTTATGAAATTCGTAATGTTACTGAAATTCAAACAGCATATCAACCGTCTATAATATTATTATAATAATATATAAAAAGTGTATAGTATATTACCTGTGAAAGCGTAATTGTGATCTGCAATAACGAACGTATAAAATATGTATTCTTACTTCACAAAGAAATCTTCATACCAGACCCACGCCACCAACCGTCGCCATTCGATGTCCAGATTCAATTGATCAGGTAACAAGGGTACTCGTCGCACCAGGCGTTTGAAGCATCGCAGCGCCATCTACAATTTTCCTTTTTCTAACAATGAAAAGTAAGAAATATAATATACCTGTCTGTATCAACTTCGTGCGTATAAAGATTGTTAAATTGTAGAAATGTTTGCAACGGTCGAAAGATGACGTGAATTAAAATCGATCCCCTGCAAAAATAGTGAAAAAATAAATAAGACGCCATGTTGTTTTTATAGTTTCAGGATCAAACTCGAGTGTCATGGCCACGGCTGTGGAAAGTGTTACGACGTTGCGCGTTTGAATTGTGTTAAAAAATCTTTTATAAAGACGCTTTCCAATAAGAATGCTGATGAAGGGGTGGCGTACGATTCTCGTTCACATTCTTATCGCCTGGAAAACGTCGGTTTAACTTGGTACAAATATAACCGGGACGCGTATAATCGAGCGAACGACCATCAGAAGTGAATCGTATAGAAACGACTAAGAAAAGCGCCGTAAGGTTTTACGGCGTGAAAGGAACGGAAACAGAGGTTAGTGTATTGAACACACTACCCTAGTCAGTTAAGACGGTAGTCATTATGGTTCTGGGTAGTGGTGTGTATATATACACAAGTGACGTCATTGATATCAATTTAGTCAAACGTTTAACGAAGAAGCAAGAGAAGAAACCCGATTTTCATGAACAGCAGTCTTTATAAGAGAAAATACTTATCTTACTTTACTTTCGTGTCTAATATCGTTTAGGAATACGTGAATACTAAAGTGTTTATAGTAGTAATCAATTGATAATCCGTATATACAGGGTGTCTTGCATAAAAAGTGTTACAAAAGCGGTTTTCTTCGAAACTATTAAAGGTAGTGATAAAATTACTTTCCTATATACTGTAGCTTGCCGAAATCAGTTATGTAATATACTTGGTTTCGAATTTCTGTCCTTTCAAAAAGAATGTCACGAACTTAAAAATTCGAGGACAGCTCTTTTCAAAGCAAATACTGCTCATCTGAAACCCGTTGTATTGAATAGGTTGGACACATAAAATAAGTGTTATTTCAGTATTAATGCATGATTTACTCACAGTTATGTTAAAAGTATAATATTAACCGTTCGATTGATATCAACGTCTATAGGCGTTTAGTCGATTTATTGCTGTGTGCGGTGAATACCTACATAGTGCGTTCTATAGTTCAATGACGTATGTACATATTATTTTGTGGTGTTCCCAACGTCAATGACGTTATTAAACAATTGAAAAGTATTGTGCTTCATTTATTCTACGCGTTCAAACGCCACGTTTATGGAATCCGTCAATTTGTTGGGTTTGAGATTCTATTATCGAAGTTAAAAAACTCATTTTAAACGCGACGCGAAACGTCAGTTCAATACATCGCGATTTACCAATCATTTTACTCGACATTTAATAAACAGCTTGCAACCGCATTGTACGCGAGACACCTTGTACATATATTCTTCTTCCTCCGTATATTACTTTTCTCTGTCTTTTAGTCCCCCTGTCCCCTTTCTCTCTTCGTTCGTCAGCTCTTCTCTTTCCCACTGTTTATTCATAAGCATTAAAGTACCTTCACTCTAATGAGTCTTCGAAAGGATAAGATTGCGTGGCGGAAAAAAGTACGAGTCGATCGCGACCCGATTTGAAAATCGACGTGTTATTCCGTCGGGATTGTTTGACTGGTAATTAGAAGTGCAACGGTAAACACAGACGGAAATATGCGGTGCTTATAGATTTTTATCGTGTAATATTTACGAAGGTAAGCAAATTGAACGTATACGCGGGTTTACGGGTCATTAAAAAAAACATGTTCAAGTCGATAGTTCTTTACCGCGAACATTTCAATGGTTAACCTTGTTCGAGACTTTTGTGTATGGTTAAACGATATTATTTAATTTTAATTGTTCTCGTCATATTTTAAAGAGGATTAGTGGGATCAATTTTCATATCAATCGAGAATTGGGTCATCGAGATTAAGTAGGGGAAGACCAGAGAAACGAGTGATCACGTTTCTTGAATCACATTCGATGATTCAAAGCGCGATGAATATTGTTGAAAACACGCGTTCAAATTCTGTTCGTTAAATGTATTTCTAAAAATCAAAAACATGTTTTGATATTCAAGTTAAGAGATTTATCTGCTGTAACAATTATTTGGGTGATAAATATCTTATCTGTAAAATGATAAAAATATTGCTTACTACTCTAAGTTATCTATCATTAAATTTTAATCAAATATATTTATTAATTGCGTGAATTTACTTTTGTAATAGGATTGCAGTAATGTCTAAAAAGACCAGTTGCAATAAAATGTTGGTACATCAATTATCATCTGTGCTGCCTAATGATAGGCCAATCACTGCTATAAGTGTTGTCGAAGACATAGATAAATGTCCACCAAATTTCACAGTGGTGAGTAAGATGATTAAAAATTATATGCATTCACTGTGTTTTTTATGCAATTATTTTTATTATTTTTCGTCATTTGTGTAGATCTCTAGAACGTACGATCAAGACACTGATGCCGATTTAGGAAGAGAAACTGGACTGTTTATTAAAAAGAGAGCCAGATACATATGTTTCTCAAAGACTGAAGGGTTACCTCATTGCGTAATCGAAGATCTGGCTGTCATTAACGAACGAGATTCTCCTCCAGACGGATACAGCATGATTTCTTATACTGTAGATTCAAGTGAGCATACGTAAGACTGATCGCAATACTGTTTGTTAGATAATCATTTTCGTTTAGTACATTGCGATAATGAATTTTAGTGCAGAAGGCATGGAGAAAGAAACAATTGTGCTATAAAATTAGAAATAAGGAATTATGCTTGAAAGCAGTTACGGATATTATTATATGTAGTGGAATTTTGCGCAAAGTGTATACATCTAAAATGGCCCCAAGCGGTTTCGTCGCAGCCGGGTACGTGTGAAGATTTATGAATTTACGATAAAAACATCGTGTAAAATTTATTTGTCGTTTATATTTAAACTTTGGTTTTTTCAGTGTCATAAACGGAGTTTGCGTTTGCTACAAAACTGTGGATATTGCAAATGGGAATTCTAGTTCGCAATCGTATGTTAATATAGAGTAAGTATTGATTTGACTTAATACATGATTAAAGATGCATTCGTATTCGTATTTACCAACCAATAGATCGAACATTTCGGTTTCTAGTTTATTTCAAAATGCATCTCCAAATCCATCGAATGGAACACCTCACAAAATACCTCCTGAAAGGCCACCGAAACCAAAGTTTTCACCAAAACCAACGAATGGAATTTATCCGCAAATTGGAGGGAATGCGGGAAAGGAACTGGAGGAATCCAGTGACAGAGATTACGAAATATTAAGTCCCAGTGCGAGAATCAGGCCCACGAGACCTGCCCCGCAGCCACCTTCGTCGTCGGTTGGATCCACATCGATCTATGGTACACTACCAGGTTCATCCGATTTGGATGGGGTCCCATTCGTCCTTCATCCGCGTCTTAGTGTTCACTCGGATTCCTCTAGTGTAAGCGATTTTAATAATAACGTTGTATATCAGCTTGTATTCATTTTTAACAGTAACATTGTTTACAGAATAAACTTCCTGTGATGAAAGTCTGGACTCAGAAAGACCTGGATAAGGAGGTAAGATAAAACAGATCTTAGTCAATGTCGATCCCCCTCCCCTCAATTTGCTTTAAATTTGGCATATTTGTAGCATTATAGGCGATAGGACAAGGGAAGGGGATAGTCGAAATATATTAATAACTTTCGAAGCCTTGAAAACGTTTTACCGAGACTTGCATAAAAAATAACGAAAAGTGACTGTTTTCGGGAGAACGTAATCTGATTAAATTTCTTATGATATGATCGCATGTAATTAGATTTTAATTGCATTCTAGTCGGGCGGTAATTACACGATAATTAGATAGTCATTGCACGTTATGAAGATTTACGATTATGATTGCACTGCGATTAGACGGTAAGCAGTACCGTATGATTACAGTGCAATTGAAGTGCGATTATATGCCATCGTATCGTGGAAAATGTAATCAAATTGTATTTCGTTCAACTCTGATCAAATTCAGTTTATTGTTACCCCGACTTGCTTGCTATAAATTTACGGTGAAATTGTCAGTGGAAATTTATGACGATCGCATAGGGTTACACTTCGTCAGGCAAGAAGACAAAGTCTGCGAACAAACCTAAGTGATTTGAGACAAAAGCTCATTGCTCCGCCGTATCGTAGATCCGACGTAAATGGGTCGATAAATATACTGTTCTTCGTATCACTTTATTCGATAGCTTCATATATTTTCCCTTATCGACTCCTTCACTGCATAGCTGTAATTATTATGCGTAAATAGTAACTTGTATAAATTCAGTTGAGTCTGTATCTATTTGGAGTATAATACCTTGTTGTTTTGGTCCTGTCACACATAATCACATGGTTTCGTTTATAGTGTCACTGAATGAAATATATGACCATGCACAATTGAAGACAAATCTATGGAGGAGGGGGATTTTCGTTGATCGCCCATTGATTAATTGTTTGGACCGCGGCACACTCTAATTAAAAATATTGTTTGTTTACTCGCTCAAGCTCTTTAACATTTCGAAATTAAATGTTCATAGCGTATCAACATGATGATATTTTTCTTTTCAGTTTTGTTACGATTTCCGCGCGGAAAGAGAAACGTGAAGAAACCACTGTGCCAAACCAATTGTGTGATTCTTCATGCAATTCTACAGCTATATCTATACAATTGTATTGATAATATAGCGAAAATACTAGCCAAGTGTAATAGAGTGCCTGAATCGTTTTAACATCTACCGATGAGATGTTCGAGTGTCATAATGTCCATTTTCCGATATACTTTTCGTTCTCCCATGTCCTATTTAGATTTTGATACGAGTGACAATTAGCATTGTATTTTTATAGAGTTGCGTTGTATTTTTATAGGTAGTAGAAGTTATATATAATTGTATCATACGTTCTAGTTGTTTATAAAGCATTACAGAATATTTAATATTGTACTGATGTACTCCTATTTCTTAAATCAGATTTAAGATTCTTTTAATAAAGTCATCTATAATTTTATTTGCAACAAGGGAACAACCACATTCACATTTTCATCCTGAAATTCACGTCTATCGATTCCTAATTCTGTACTCGACAGCTTACAGAAACTTTTGATATTTTTATAATCCATAATTACGTGTATAGAGCTTTCCGGGCGTCATTGAGATGAAATAAAATTAAGTAATAATTTATATACATTTGTATTATCAAACTTTAAAATATCTGTGGCAAGGTACGAAAACATTTATATAACAAGAATGTAATTACGAGTTAATAAAAAACTACAGATAAATCATCATATTTTCTATTTCTTCAGATTTGTCTATTTGACGCATATTTTTAATAATGAAATAGATTTCAGTAACTTGTCATTTTAATTTTAAAACAACAGAAAAGAAAAATGTTGCCACGATAAAGTTATAAATATTCGCGGTAAACAAATTGTACTCGCGATCTCGGCGGAATGAGCCAAGCTTAACATACGTCGCTACGAAATTATTTAATTTATTGTTTTCATTAGCCACGCTATAAATATGTACGAAACATTTTATTAAAATATATACAACACATTGAAATACTTTTTACGTTGAAAAGCTGTTATAAATAAATTAATTCCTATGGGCTTTCCATTTTTTCGCACAACAAAAAAATGAAAAAGCGTTGCGTTAGAAAAGGATTATCAATAATAATTTACACCATTATATTTTACACTTGAAACGTGTTTAACGATTAACTGTGTTGGAAGCACAGTCTGAATATTCACAGTCACTGATTCTTATTTGTTTTTTTTTCCACTGATCTTTAAAAGTGCACGAGAACAGTTATTACTTGCGCGTCGAGAGAATGCGTCTGTTAACCAGTTGTGTTTAATGAAACTCTAACCACCTTTGTGCGCACCTGAAACTTGACGACATCTACAAAAAGCGTAATCTATTAATGGCTGCATCATTTTGTTTGAAATTTGTGGGACAAACTTGAGGGAACCTTCTTGCTTATTCCTAATTAACAATTGCTAACAAATTAAGAGTGAACAAAGGCTCTTAGAAGTTGGACCAAATGCTTGACTGTTTTTAACATGACTGCTGTGGTGTAGTTGCAATATTTGATCAATGTCATAAATTACTGAGGATAACCAATGGGAATTAAATAGCAGACCTACTTTTTAGAAGATTGACCATAGTATTATAACCCTCTGTGAAATCAAGTTAACTGTAGTAGTATAACCTGCAGTAAGATCCAACGCATGGAGACATGGTTGACCCAGTTACGGTGGGTTACTCTAGAAAACAGAACCAAACCGAGTTAGGGTTAAAATCCCTGCTGTGACGCAACTTTCGACGCGCGTATAGTACACCAAAATGATCACTCCCCCTCGTCAGGTTCTTGTCGAAACAGATTACTTGGAAAAACTTGGGCCAGTCGTCAGACAAACGGCCCGGTCCAATGTCTGACATGAGTGGTGTTGTTGGTAGCGGAGACACCATGCTTCTCCAACACCGCGGTCGCCTTAATTTTATTCTTATACTTGACGTCCTTCGGTTTCAGCATACTCTTGTGATTACTCAGCAACCTCGACGGCGTTAGAATAGATTTATTGCTAAGACCCGTTGCTTCCAGGAAGTGGTCGTAACCACTACTCGAGTTGGTCGCAGCTAGAGGAACATTATTATTGTCTTTGGTTGCGGCAGTTTTCTCGTTCTGGCCAACCGTGGCCCCGAGGTTACCAAGTCTCTCCGAGCCGTCGCCCTCGGGCCTGTCGGGATCGTCGGACAGGTTGCACTCGTCCAGATTAAACTCCTCGAAGTTCTGTCTGATGTCGAACTCCTGATCGAACTCCGGATGAACGTGCTTCTCCTTGGTCTTGCTCCTTTCCTTCGTCTGCTCATCGGATTCGCCGCCGATCTTGAACTCCTCGAAGTGACGAACGATGTTCGTGACCCTGGGCGTCTTCCGCGTTTGCTCGCCACCTGACTCATGACTCTGTCGCGTCTGGAACGAAGAACGAACATTGTTGAACCTGTTCTTCCAGAAGTTTCCCTCCTCGTTCGTTCCCGTGACTTTGCTGATGGTTTCCTCGAAGTTCAAGCTTCTGGCTGACGTCACGCTGATGCCAGCCGACTTCAACGGCGAGGATATGAAACCGAAAATCTTTTTGCCGTGCTCGGTGGGACCCGACTCGAGCAACGGTTGCTTCTTGCGCGTCTCGTCGATGAGGAACGAGGGACTAGGAATCTTTTTCAGGATCAACGTGTTGTTTTTGAATTGAGGCTTAGGCGGCAATGCTGGGGGCGTTTTTGGAGGTGGCGATATTATCTCGGGTAGCGACTCTATGTCCTCGTAGTCGAGGTTCTTCGCTATGGTCAATCCCTTCCCAGACATTTGCAAACAGGTCTTCTCCTCGATCCTTTCCATCTTCAGAGGTGGATTCGATTTTTGCGCTGTCTGCGACGAGGGGAACGTCGCGTGCCTCGTCTCCTTCGCTTCGACCTTTGGCTCTATGATTACTATAGGAATGGCTTTCGATTCCTCCGACTCCTCGAGGCTCGACTCGCGACTGGTGATGTTTGTTGCGACGCTGGAGGGTGCAGACTGAGCGAGACTCATCCCAAACTCGTCCTCCGTAGCGGTGGGCTCGAAGCTGCTGGCAGGGGCCTCGTTGAATTCGTTGCTGGACACCACCTCCTTCTCCGTGACAGTTTCCTCGGAATTTTTTCTTTCCATTTCGGAGCCCACCGACTCGATGTCGGACAACCTTGCTGATTGAAAGCGAACGATTCTACCTCTGTGCTTAAACCTCCTGGACACGGATAGAATGTTCTCCTCTTCCTCCATGTCTCTCAGAAGGATCTGGTTCACGCATTCCAGAACGGAGTTGTGATTGCTGTTTGGCCGATAGGTGCTGTGCCTGAAAACATCGTCGTTGATCCTGTCCTCGTCCGGATCGCTGTACCAGTTCCCGCTGGTCTCTTCCACGTTTTGTTCCTCCATTTCCATTTTCGGGGGCCTGCAAAAGGGCATATAATTGCTCAAATTCAATTTAACGTTTCATTCTGTTACCAGACTATTCTCTAAGCTGTAATCTTTTCACGCACATAAGTATTTAATTTTTATTTGCACCGTAGAGACGATTTTCATATTTTTTGTTTGTCTAGTGTTGTCTCATGTGTTTTCTACATATGTAAAGATTAACGTTTTACTTGGTTTTTCTAGGTCTCCAATTTTCTCTCTTTTATTGCTACTTTCCAAAGTTTCCTACTGTGGTCCAGTTCTGCGTTTAAACGACCCTGTTTTATACATGTTTATGTAGTGGTTGAAACAATCGAAATAACATCAAAAGAGACACTCAACGACCACTTGCCCGAGTCTAAAAACTGTGGACAGTGGTTAATGATCCATAACGCGAACATATATGCACAAATGGAACGTGCGACAACCGAGAAATGCATTTCAGTGTCATCGCGTCTATTAAACTCGTGACAAAGCAATACTGTCGAAACATCGAAATCACCGCTATTAACTTATCTCACAAATAACATTGCGTTGGTAATAACGGCGTAAATATCGCAAAAACAAATTTCTTCATCAATCCGAGTGAGGTAGGATAATTCTGGCCACTCTTCGACGTCCTCGATGCAAGAGAATAATTCTTTTTGATTTAAAAATCACTACCGCGGTAATTCCATATTTTCTCACGCGTAAAAACCATACTTACACACTGCTATCGTTGTTGCTGTTACAACCATCGTTGCTGTTGTTATTGTTACTGTAATTCTCGTCAGTTTTCGGCGCTTCGGGTACCGCGTTCTCCGTGTGCTCCAAGTTCCTAGAATTCGTCTCGTTGCAAGCGTTAACGTAAATAGGTTCTTGCTCCTTCTCCTCGTCCTCCGATGCGAAATTACAGTCCATCCCGTCGTCCTTGCTCTCCGTCCTCGCGATGTTCGTCGTCTCGATCGCCTCCGCGTTTTTGCCAGCCTTCTGCGTCTTCGACCTGCCGATTCCCGTCCTCTTTTTCGCCAGCTTCGGACCGTTCTCCTTGATCGTCGTCTCCTCGTCGTCGTTGTCGTCGTAGATCATCGTCGTCTCGTTCTCGCTGTCGGTGACCATCGTAGGCGTGTATCTGCTGGACTTGTTCAGCGTGGAGCCGGGCGACACGTCGGTGCTCTCGCCTTCGCAGAAACCCTCAGTGCTGAGCAACGAGGGACTGCCCTCCGTGGTGGTCGTGATAATAGACACGTCCGTGTTCTCGCTGCTCGTTAAACTCGTCTTCGAGATATCGCTGCCAGCGAAGCTGTGAGTCTTCTTAACGCCTCTGTCCAGGTCGTCCAACGCGACGGATACCACCGACGGGCTCAGCTTCGTGATTATCTCGCACTTCAGATTCTGTATGTCCTTGCTGATGCTGCTGTCCTGCCTGGAGTCCAACTAAAATCAGAAAACAGAGGGTCAGTAGGTGGACAAATTATTTAATAAAAATTCCCGGGTGATATTCGTTTATTTACTTCGACGGTGGATGTTTGAAGATCGCGATCCTCGATGTTCGTAGTTTCGATCTGCATCGAGGCCTTGCCAAGCGTCTGCTCGCGTTTGCACTTGATGTAGTTCTTCGTGTAACGCCTGAGCCTTGCTATTTCCAGCTGCTGGTTCCTGATCACGTTGTCCTTCTCGCAGAGCAGCTGCCTGATCGACTTCTGCTCCTGCTTGAGCCGCGCCTCGAGGACGAGCAGGGCGCGTAGAATCCGCGACAGCTGTTGGTCCCGAAGCGTCCTCTCGGACTCGTGACCCGTGGCGCGGTTGTCCAGCTCCTTCACCAGGTCGCGGCATCTCTTTGTGGCCGCCTTCAAGGCATCCTGGGTGCGAACCAGCTCTTGCTTGAGTGTCCGCACCTCGGTTTCCATCTGAAGAATAATTTTACCGGTTACAGACGTCGTTTTATGCTTCTACGTCACTTGGTTGTTAAAATAGCTGTTCTTATAGCCATCGAAATTAATTCTTAAGCGTTTGCTCGAGAAATAATATGCAAGAAGTGTATGTGTTTGGACCTGGGGACCCTTGGCGTCGATGATGTTTAGTCTAAGAGTAGGTATCGAGTGAGGTGTTTAGGTTTAAGCTGAAATACGTTCGAGGGACTGCGCCTGGAACGTACGTTTTGTTTGGATCATTGTTATAGGATAGGAATAAGAAATGGTCGACTTTGACTGCATCGAACGCTAGTCGAGAGCAATCACAGTTTTACGTTTACGCTTGTTGGATGACCAACCTCCTTATCATATATTCTGACTCATCGCCACTTGGTCGCCTAGATGACAAGCCCTCGCTCATTTTGTCAACAAGGGTAGAGTTCACCTAGGTTCGCCATACCATGGCCCTTTTTCCTTTCTTTAGTTTTAGTATATAAGATTTAAAAAGTATGCAAGAAGCAGCATTACACTCTTGACTGTCTGACTGTTAAGCTCGTTTTAATGTCCGCCATTGTTCGCTTGAAATATATACAGGGTGTTGGACCACCCATGGGAAAAATTTTAACGGGAGATTCTAGAGGCCAAAATAAGACGAAAATCAAGAATACCAATTTATTGATGGAGGCTTCGTTAAAAAGTTATTAACGTTTATAGTTGTGGCTGTAGAACAGCAATTTGTCCACCTTCTCGAATTTTTTTCTCGAAAGTGCGTAAGATTTCGGGGATATGTCTATCCACCAAAAGTGATTGTAATCGACCCCCGCAATCGAAAATAATTTTTCCAAAATGATTTGAAATTTTTTTTCCGTCGAAAAATTTCACACCTTCTCGAATTTTTTTCTAAAAAATGGGTAGGATTTCGGAGGTATGTGTAATGACCAAAAATGATTGTAATTGACCCCCGCAACAGAAAATAATTTTTCCAAAACGATTTGAAATATTTTTTTCCGTCGAAAAATTTCACACCTTATCGAATTTTTTTCTAAAAAATGGGTAGGATTTCGGGGACATGTGTAATGACAAAAAATGATTGTAATTGACCCCCGCAACTGAAAATAATGTTTCCAAAACGATTTGAAATTTTTGAATTTAATTGTTAATAATTTTTTAACGAAGCATCAAACAACAAATTAGTATCCTTGATTTTCGTCATATTTTCGCGTACTAATTTCTTCAACCCGGATTTCAACACGTTTTATGTTCTTTACGTTAAATAGTTTTAGTGAATATTAAATAATATAGTTTATACAGTTACGTTTATTGTCCACGTGTTTGAATCCGACCATACGCCTCTGACCATCCTCGACGATCCTTACAAATAATATTTAATCGCGGAAAATTACTTCATATAACCGGGGATTAATTCGTAATTAACTGTAGACGTTGCGTAGAGAACATTGATAGAAAGAGTGATCGAGGAAAACGGATGACTTTGGTAAAACAAATTTATCATCGGTGTTGGGTGACCGAGGCAATCTAATCTAGCGTTGAGTTTGATCGACGACTTTCGATACGATGATAACACTACTTTTTAGTAGCGTTTACAGAAGTACTCTTGAAGAAACTGTACTTGTAGTGTTTGGATAATGCATGTTGCAAAATACTTGAAAAAAGCAAAAAAAAAAGAAAGAAAATGGATCGATCGATCTCGTGTGTATGTTTACCGACAGCGCGTGTCGTGGATAATTTACCGACTAGGAATAATTCAGCGGCAAAGAATTTTTTTTTCAAATGTACGAATATTCGAATACTCAAGCATTTCATTTATACTAGCGAATGTAGCGATGGGATCGAGCGTATCGCAATGAATTTTTATTCCAGCAAGTGTTATTATGATGAAATGAATCTAAGTACTGATTTCAATACTAAAAGTAAGATGTGTTTTAATATTGTTTATAATGGAAGAGCTCTGATACTAGTAAAATTGTACGTAACTTTAGTTTAATTAGAAACGCTGTAAATTAACAAGTGCACCATCGAATTATCAAATACTGCTACGCTTTATTTGTTGCACACTCTAACGTGGATAGTCGGGGGTCCACAGTTTGAGAAACACTGGTCTAGAGTTTCCAAAATCAAACACCCAGACGCAGCAAGTATAGCATACGACCTAAGGAGGAACAATGCGAGCGCCAAGAGGCGAAGACCTTCGCTTTGTTCCGCGGGAAGCGAAGTCTCGAAGGTTGACTCCGGAGGAACCCTGGAATTCGTCCAGGTGCGGACTGGACGAAGACCGGAAGGACCTGACCCGCAGCAGAAGCTGGTAAGCCGTGCAGCCAACAAAAAAATAAAGGGGAGGGCATGTCGAAATAGGAAGGGTATTTATTGTTCGACTCTCAGCTCGAAATCCATTCTGTGTTACGTGTTCCTCGTCAACGGATGACGGTGCACGATAAATCTGACAAACTGGATCAACGTCACTTTGTGCAAATCCCTCGGATTTATTATTACGTATTAATCCTCTCGAAACGATCCTGTCGAACGAACGATAATTAGAAAATCTTATCGAGAATCCTTTGCTTCGTAAAATACGATTTAAAACCAACCTGAATTAACGACACAGGACTTTTCGAATAATTTTACTCTATTCGTGTTTCATGCAAAATAGAATAGTTCTCTCGTATTGTAAATTTACAGTAATATTTCTCACTTCTTTACAACGTTCTCAGTTTTGGTTCGTGAATTTTTCTAGAGCTACGAATAATTCTACTTTTGATTGTAAAAAATCTCATTCGCGAGATTCTTGTCCGATCGCAGGCACACCTTGCAAATATTATCCCGGGTTTCTTGGAAACCAACCAGCGACGACTAATGGTTAAAACTGACCCTTGGTCAGGCCTGGGCACACACGGTGTTCGTGCTGTCCAAGAATCCCAGTTTATGATGTTCTGCAGGTAATAAAGTGGCGTCTGATGCGCAAGGGTCTTCGTGACCCTCGCAAGCTTAATTTGCGCACCAACAGTTCGCTTTCCCTTCGTAACACCCATTAAAAATTACAGCAGCGTCATTCGTCGGTACACTAGGCGTTTCGAAACTAACATTTAAAGTACATTTTACCGCCTCGAATTTTAATCTATACATTTTTCGTTTTTGGTATACACGGTGTTCCGGCAAACGTTGAGACAAATTTTAATGGTTGATTCTGGAGGTCAAAATAAGACGAAAATCAAGAATGACAATTTGTTGATGGAGGCTTGGTTAAAAAGTTATTAACGTTTGAAGTTTCGGCTGTTGAACGGCAATTTGTCCAACTTCTCGAATTTTTTTCTCGAAAACGCGCAAGATTTCGAGGGTGTGTCTATTCACCAAAAGTGATTATAATAAACCCCCGTAGCTAAAAATAATTTTTTCAGAACGATTTAAAATTTTTTAATTTTGACAAAACATTTGTCCTACTCGAATTTTTTTCTCAAAAATGCATAGGATTTCGAGGTTATGTCTATTCACCATAAGTGATTCTAATTGACCCCTGCAGCTAAAAATAATTTTTCCAGAACGATTTAAAATTTTTTAGTTTAATTTGTTAATAACTTTTGTGAATATATTATTTTGATGCAAAATACACCGATAAATTTTGCAACGATGATTTCAGGAACGCCGTGCGTACATAGTACTTGACCACATTTACGAAGAAACGACGCGTAACCAAAGAGCAATTTATGCGTAACCGTTTCGTCGTGATTACTTTGCTCGTAGTTTCTCGAGGAAAACCGATCCGTCGATGAAACGTAACGGGCATTTCCGGCGACATCGAAAATAATTTGTCCACGTTTCTCGCGCGGGAATCGTATCGACGAGTCCGGGCCGTGCAATTAAATCGCGAGATGCTGATCGCGTCGAGAAGGAGAAACGCGTATTTTCAATTAAGGAAACACTTCGAGGTAACGGAACCGTGCCGGGTATATTTACGACGAGGATTCGAGTCCGCTTCCTGACGTTTTACGAACTTTGCGCTTACGCTCTCGGTCGACAACGCTGTCCGTGTATTTTATTATTATTTCATTTAAACGTTTCGTGGAAATGAAATCGTAACGCTTCAAACGACGTTCCCCTCGACACCAAATAGTTTTAAAGTCGGTTCGGTATATAAAAACAAAGTCGTGGGCTGATTTGTTCCGTATCCCTCTTCCAACGTCCCCGATCGAGTTACGTCAGTTCCGAGAACCCGGTCTTTTGTAATCGTAAAGCTGCGTCTCCACTGCTATGCACAGCAACGTGGCAAAACCATTTCTTTCTCACACATTCCATCAACAGTGACACGCAAAATCTCTTTCGTAAACGGTGCTGATTTTTCTTATAAAAATTATTTTATTCAGTAAAAAATTAAGATCACCTTAATTTTTGTAGTAAAATTGTATCTTTGTATCTCGATGATGGTTTTGGAACGAAAGTGACATGAAACTCTGTACGTTGAGGACTCGACAGACTGCTTGGATGACGCACTCTGTGTTATTTTGTTTGTTTTCTGGGAATACAGCAGCAACAAAAGTTAATTGCCGGTCTTGGCACGATCTCTTTTGATGGTTACCGACATCGTGCCGATCGACTCGTCGGCATGCCATTGGGCTTTTCAAGCCACGCTATCCGAGACGATGCAGGTCTTGAGATTGTTTGGCTTTGTCGAGAAGTGGTTAGGGTGCCGATTGACCGTGCTAGATGACAAATGCCGACACAGTGGAGACGAAATTTTTGACCTAACCCAGTGTGGGCGCGACTTAACCCTTTAACGGCCGCTGTCACGTATATGTGACTTCGAGAGCCAACAGACGTTGGCCACTGTCACGTGCGCGTGATCTACCGTATCAGTTACCATTTCATCGTACATTCAACTTATCACGTTTGTCGAGGTTAAATTTATAATAATATTCCTAGCATCTTCGTGTGTCTCACTTTGGTGTACAATTAGCGAAGGACAACGGTTTTCGCGTGATACGAGC